GAGGTTAAAAGGCTAAATGTATGCAAAACATCTGGTACATAATAGGCATTCAACAAGCGGTAGTAATTACCATTACTATGGCTTTAGGTTTCTCCCTCACAGCCAACTGCTTGGCTGCTCAGAGATGAATTTCCCATCAACCATCAAAACATATCTTGAAACCCAGACAAGCAAGGGACCTGAGGCCTCGGAATGTGTTTCAGAGGCTGAGGTGGGTAGGGGTGGGCCCATCAGGGAGGGATAACTGTCCATCTAGCTCAAGTGTTTGGAATGAACTATTGGGGGGCCTAGAGTGGGGAGGCCCGGAGCCCTGGTGGCACAGTGGTTAAGAGCTCAGCTGCTAACCAAAAGGTCGGCAATTCGAATCCACTAGCCACTCCTTGGAAACCCTATGGGGCAGTCCTACTCTGTCCTACAGGGTCGCTATGAGTCGGAATCGACTCGATGGCAACAGGTAGAGGGGAGGCCCAGAAGAGGTTGGAAGCCTTCTGTGGCAAATTGAAATGGAACTTCTCTGTGACCTCTGGCGTGGCTCGGGGGTTGTGCAATCAAAGCCACAAGACTCAGCTTCTTGTTTCTGTTGCACCGTTTTCTGGGACTGGGCTGGTGCATGTGGTCTGCTGCTGCTGCTGCTGCTGGGCCCACCCTGGATGTTCCCTGCTCTGCGTCTGGGCACAGGAGAGTAACGCTGGCTGTTCAGAGCGTGTGCAGAATGTGTGGTCACAGTGGGAGGAGTGAGTGGGGCTGCAGGTAGAAGTGTGAGTAGAAAGAGAGCTTTTGTATGTGTGGTTTATTCCCAGAGGCCTCTTCCTGTCAGAGAGGGTAAGAGGGCCTTAACAACAACAACCAGTTGCTGTTGAATCAAGTCTGACTCATAGTAATCCCATGTGTATCAGAGCAGAACCGTGCTCTATAGGGTTTTCAGTGGCTGCTTTTTTGGAAGTAGATCACCAGGACTTTCTTCCAAGCCACCTCTGGGGGGATTCGAAACGCTAACCTTTTGGTTGGCAGCTGAGGGCGTTAACTCCATCATCCAGAGTTTCCGAGAGGGCCCTGATGTTGTTGTTAGTTGCTGTAGAGCCAATTCCGACTTATGTTGACCCCCAGGGACTCCTAAGAGGGTCTTAGGGGTGGCTTTTGCTCAGCTTTACCAAAGGCATTCCCCTGGAGCCCGGAGTCTATTTCAAATTTCCTTAGTAGGAGCCTTTGGATGTAGGTAACAAGCAGGAGTATAGTCATCATTAGGTTGAAATCCCCTGCCTGTTGTGCACCCCAAGGCTGCCAGGAGGCCCAGGGAGAGCCGCATGTGTAGGCTGAATCCCCACCGGAGGAAGCAAGTTTCTCAGTCTCCCATTAGAGAAGCTGACTTTGAATTCCCACATATGTGAGCGCTTATCAAGGTACTCTCCTTTATTTTTATGTCATGTCCTGTGTGTATATCTTGTTTCCCCAAATAGAAAGGGGTTCCTTTTATGGCAGGAACTGTGCGTTATATTTCTCTGTAATCCTCCACCCCCCATCTCATCCCCCAACCTCAAATACACTTCTCTTCCTTTATCCTCCAGGAATGATCTGCAGGCAGTTCCCTGCCCATACCATACTGTTTCTTGCACCACTGGCTCTGCTCTTGTCATTCCCTCTGCTTGGGATACTCTTCCCAATTTTCTGTTAATTCATAGGGTCACTATGAGTCAACACTCATAGGTCACTATCAACTCAACAGCAACGGGTTTTTTGGTTAACTCCTACTCATCCTTCAAGACTCAGCTCGGAAGTCATCTGTAACTGGACCCTTGGACGCCCCTCCTCTACTCATGAACTCACATCGCTTGTTCTACAATCATCTGTTGAGGCTCTTGCCTCCCTCCTAGACTTCGAGTTCCTCAAGGTAACACGTTCCTTTTTGTGTCCCCAGTGCCTGATGAGCAGTAAGGGCTCAGCGCGTGTTTGTTGAACCTAATTAAAGAGCCTGCGCTTGACGTGCTATGAATTGCTACCGATTGATTACAGAAAGAGTTGTGATTGCTGCTCTGAGGCCAGGAACAGGGTGCCAACATGGTGCAAACAGGTTCAGAACGAAGGGCTGGAGGCACCTGATGGTGGGGACACTCACTTTCTTCGCCGCATTGGCGACCCAGCTCCAATGTCCAGAGTTTCTCAATGCTCCCATCCAAGAGCTTCCAGCTAAGGATGGGCTCTGATGGCATCTCAGGGGTCTCTTCCAGAGATGAGGAAAACCACCTACCCCGGCCCTGCATGCCCACCTCACCTCTCCTAGGGGACCCCTTCCCCTGGAATATGACGTGACCCACCCAAATGCATGACTTTACACGGTGAGCTTCATTGGCTCAGCCATCATTTCCCACAAATCCTAGAAATCCAAGTATTCAGGAAACCCAAAAGGAAAAAATTAAAAAAGGGAAGCTCACTGCCCAAAAGACCAAGGGCTGAGGCCAGTATCCTCTTCTGGTTTAGCTCAGGCAGACCCACTCAGCTGACCAGCTTCTGGAGGCTCCTAGAGCAATAATGTTAATGGTGGTGACTAAGTCTTTGTACCGTGTCAGCTGTATCACTGTGTCCTCTTTATACAGAGAGATAAAACTGTCTGCATAAACCCTGAAGGTTCAGACATGAGGTGGATACTGCTTTTGTGATGAAATTTTAATAATATGAGAACAAGTCTGTCTCATTTCTTAAGGCTTACGCTGGGTTGTTCCTCAAGTGAGAGAAAAATTGCAAGCTGCTGGCGTTCCAAAGATCCAATGGTGTCAAAATCCTCAGGCCGCTGCAGCGTACGTTTCTGTGTCCCTGACAATATGGCAGGGAGGTACTTAAAGATTGTTCCAATCTACCCAGAACATTGAGACTTTCAGATCCTAGTGAGTGGAGTGAGGTCAGCAGGCTGGCTCTGCAAACCTAAAACATTATTACTAGAGAAAGGCAGAGAACTGTCTTCGGATTTCTCGGGAACCAAAATGCTTTCTTTTGCTGCCCTGATAAGATTACCAGTCTGCTGAGCAGCCAGCATCCAGACTTCCCACAGACGTGATCATTCTCAGGCTCGGGCTTGCCTTGCTGTGAGGAGCCATGCTTCGGTTGAGGCTCTGAAACCTGACTCCGTTCCAGGAATATACACTCACACCCTCCCTTGATAGGTCCTGGGCCAGGCGAGGTTTCATGTTGGGCCCTTGGGTCTGACTACTCCCAATTCCTCCTGTCATCGCAGCCTAGCAAATGGAAGGTGTCTGTTAAATGGGAGCCAGTTGCACTGTGAGGGTCCCACAGAGCAACTGGGAGCCAGAGAGGAATTTGGGGGTATTCAGGCATGTCCACACGTCCACCCGAGCCAACACCGAATTTCCACCAACCATTCAATCCCTAATTATGACCCATAAGCTCTAGCCAGCAACCAGCATATGGTTTAGTGAGAGGGTGGATCAAAACACAGCAAGGGCTGCTGGGGTTTCTATCCGTGCTTCATGTGTAATTTCAAATTAATCCTCCTGAGGTTTGAATTCTGCTTACAAGTTTCTCTACTATCCCCTAACCCTATAATTTTTAATTAGCACTTCAGACACATGATCTGGTATATAATAAGTGCACAACAAATGTTGAGTAAATGGATAAATGACAAACAATACCTGGAAAGATCTTGGAGTTACCTCAGAGAAAAGGGCTCACTAATTGTGTCCATCTAATTTAGAAATAAGGAGCCCGGGTGGCACTATGGTTAAGTGCTTGGCTGCTAACCAAAAGACTGGTGGTTCAAACCCACCCAGCCACTCTATGGGAGAAAGACATGGCAATCTGCTCCCATAAAGATTATGGTCTAGAAAACCCTATGGGGCAGTTCTACTCTGTCACACAGGGTTGCTATGAGTCAAAATCAACTCGATGGCACCTAACAACAATTTAGAAATGCATGATTTGTTTCAGTGGTAATAATGTTTCATTTTCCCTGACTAAATTCTTTATTTATTCAATTAAATAGTAGAAACATGGATGTGAGGAGATGCAAACTTTCTCAAGCAACCTCAACTACTTGGTAGTGCCGACAATTTATATTTAAGCACCTAAGGATGTTAATTTAAATTCAGTGTCCTCAGTTTCCAGCTCTTTCTTTACAATACACCTCTCTCCCCTGGGTTCCTATCAATAATAACTTCACCTATTATCTCTTCTAGAGAAAATCATATTTGCATATGGAGTCACAACATCATAAGAGGACTTTGATGGACATTTCTGCTTAGGACAATCAAAACCGACATATCCAACCTTGATTTTTTCAAAATCTGATCTTTCTCCTATCTTACTCATTTATTCACTCACTCAACAAGCATTTATTGAGTATCCATCAGGCCCTACGAGTAGAAGACATCTTCCTGCCTTTGAGAAGTCTTCCAGGGAGAAAGCCAGGAGGTCGATGGTTACCTGGTGTTCTAATGGTGGTTTGAACAAGGTGCCCTGTGAGCGCTGTGAAGAGTTAGAGGCCATCTGAGAAGGCTTCCAGAGGTGGAGACATTTGAGCAGCAGACTGAGCAGGGAAGGAATTTCCCATTTCTGTTAATTCATGTATCAATTTGTCAATTAGAATCATATAATTGAGAAATTAGATGATTGTATGCTAGGCGCTATGCTAATCTCTGGAAATTTAAAGACCAGGAAGACAGTCTCTGTCTAAAAAAGGCTTATAGGAGGTATAAAATATGGCACGACCATTCTCCCTGACCCCTTGGACAAATCCGCTCTTCTGGGTACCCGGGTGAGCTCAAACACAGGAAGTGGTTTCTTACTTCTCCTCCAACACCTGCCTGGTCTTCACGCTTTTCCATCTTCTTGTTCTTACTCTTATTGCTTCTCAAAGTCAGAACATACCTAGACTCTCAGAGAAACTCCCAGACCTGGCTTCCTGCTCACTCTAATAATCAGTGCTTCTGCCATATCATCCCTGCTGCATCACAGCTGCCATCTTACTCAAGATCTTTCAGAGTTTCCCACTGACCAGGGAGCAGAATCCAGGGCCACCTACAACCTGGCCTCCAAGGGCTGCAGCTGGCCTCTGTGAGAGTTAGAAAAAGTCACCCTGTTGGGGCGCAGTTAAGCAAGGCACCGCTGTATGAGGAAAAAGTCACACTTTCCTCCTGGTGGCTTGGATTTCAGCCCCACTTACCATTTGGCCAGGCATCTACTATACTCGGTGGCCCTCTGGCTTGATCTTATTACTCTCATTTCTTTCTCACTGCTCCCCTACTTTCCTCTCCAGACACATGGCCTGCTTTCCTGAACAAAGCTGACATGTTCCCCCCATACCCATTTGCTTATGCCTTCCCCTCCTCATCATCCACCCTTCTTTCAAGGCTTGTTTAGAGTCTTACATCCTCTGAACTCCTAGATAACTTATGGTCTGCACCAGTCATTCATTTGGCACTTATGCATTTGAAAATCATCCCTATGACAAGATACAGTGAGTTTCATTCCCCCTGTTGGACTGTGAGCTTTGAAAAGGCAGGGATCAGATGGCATTTTTACCATGTTTAGTTCAGGGGGCTTAATAAGGGCTAAAGTTGTTGATAATGGTAACAATGACTTACAAGAAAGTTTCCCAAAAACACCCAATAGGTAAGTGGGTTCTAGACAGCGATTGTTAAGTAAGCCTTGTTGGTCTCATTTGAATTCCTAACACTGGGAAGTAATATAACTCAGTTTCTTCTCAAATACAGTGGTCCCTTCATATCTCAAAAGTGGGATTCACCTCTCAATTGAGGGTTTTATCTGAGATTTTTAGGAATCCCCAAATCCTACTCCCTGAATATCATATCCTACTATAAAAAGTTTACTTCCTGCCTAAGTATCATCCAGTCCTCAGCCTTTGGTTTCCTCCTCACTTCCTTCCCCAGTACTAGGAGTTGCAGTTTGTTTTTTGTTTGTTTGTTTTTTTCCTGGCATTTTGACAAACTTCAAAAGCAGTCACTGCGAACCAGCAATCGACAGTCCTCCTTGCTTCTCTCCCTGCTTCCCTCCCAGGCTTCTCCCTCTCTCCCAGCCTCAGCGCCAGAGTGTTTTGGTATCTTGGTGGAATCACATATCGGTTACTACACATCTCAGCTTGTAGACCAGAGGGCCTTCTCTTTGCACAGACCTCCCCTAAGCTACACAGGAAGTTGCTCGAGTGATCTTTTCAGAGTCTCTGCCACACTCTGTTCCTTCCTCAACTGAGGGAGAAGAAATGCAGGATTCCCAGTGTGTCTTCCTAGAACAAAGTTCAAACCTGCGTTAAAAGCAGTGACCTGCTTTTAAGCCTAAAACTTGCTTTCCTCTTATCTCCTACCCATTTCTGCTAGAGATTAGGCAGGCCATAAATCATATTGAGCCTCCAACCTGGGACCTGAGGCACCGTGTACTCTCCCAGAGGAGGGAACCAACTTCAGAAGCCTCACCCAACCCAATAGGCTGGGCGTCCATGAGCCATCACCACCTCTGTCCTGAAGCTCCAGCCAGTTCAGAGAGATTCCCATTGTTTGGTGCTTACGCTATCTTTGAGACACGTCCTGATGGCCGACTTGTGGACACCACCTAGTGAGCTTTTCTGTGTGTGTACCTATGAGTCGGAATCAACGGAATGGCACAAAATAACACCACCGCCACCTCCTCAGCCCTAATCTGCTCAGTTTTCCTGCCTTGCAACAGTTTCTAAAGCAGGTCCATCTCAAACTCTAGGGGATTCCATGCTCCCTCGTACTTCACAAAGTCTCCCTGAAGGTGACCCCTGTGACTTGAAGGTAGCCTGAATACAGCTGCCCAGGACAAGCCAATTGTCCCTGCAGCGAAGTCAGAGAGCTTCAGAGGCCAAGCAACGAGTCTGGGTTAGAAGAGAAGACCAGGGCTAAGTGGTAAGCCAGAAGCTGGGAAGAAAGAGCAGAGTTGACTCTCAATCCAGATTCTTGCTGACCACAAGCTAGTGAGGAGCCTCGGTTTCCCTTTGAACAAGGGTGGGAATCACCTTAGAAGCTTACATAAAGTTTGCACTTTTTCTTTTCTTCCTTTCAAAAGCCCCAGGCCTTGTTAAGATTGACTTGAGGCTAAACGTCAGGTCTCCATTTCAAGAGGGAAATCTATGGAAGCCTCAAGATGTGGAGCAGAGAGCAATGTGGGGAATACATCTAGCCTTTCTTCCACTGAAAGCTGACTGCCTGGATGCTGCTGTGGTACCGGAAAAGTACCCAGGACTCCACTGAGCAAGCAGAGGAGCTGCGGGCCTCACCCTGGTACAGCTTCCAGATGTGGCCAGCACACCCCAGTACACACCATCTCAAAGGGCAGGGGCGTCCAGAGGCATCTCAAGTTTTATCACAAATAGTGCCATCCGACAGTCCAGTAAGGGGAGCTTTTCAGAAAGTTATGAAAGAAGATGTGACCCACAGAAGCAAGAGGACGACTGGACTTTCTAAAAAGCCAGTCTGCAAGCAAAAGGGAAGCCCACAGATCTACACAGAGGACAAGCCTCACTTTGCCAGTTCTGTTTCTTTCAGTACCTGTCTCTGTCTCTTCAGACTCAGCAGCTTCTGCTTTCTGGCAGAGGTTGTGCTCGCACGGTTTGCCCGTTTACGAACCTTGGCTGTTCCTAACACGTTTTCTGAAGCATTTAAGTCCCCAGCCAAAATACCTGCCCCCTCCCCCCCGAAAGGACTCTCTCCTCTCCCTGTACATCTTTCCGTGTACACCCCCTGCCTGCCGAGAGGAGTCTCCTAAATAGGACCAGGGGAGATCTCCAGGAGTTGGCGAAGGAGGCATCCGAGCAGCGGGCATTTGCCCTTCTTCTTGGCAACAGAGATGAGGCGCGGACTCCCTCCTCCGAGCCAGGGCAGCTGCGTGGTGAGGCGGCGCCCTTGATCCCTCGCCCCGCGCTCGTCGGGCCCCGCGTCCGGCGTAGACGCGCGCCCTGCGCCCCCAGCCAGGGTCCTTTACCTCCATGTCCTCCAGGTGCCCGACTCCACAGCTAACGCGCCCGCTTGCTGGGGCTGGTGTCGCGATCCCTGCTCTCCGCTCCTTCCCGCCCGGGCCAGGCTCGGGCGCGGCGCGCACGGGGCTAGTAGGCTGTGGCTCGGCGAGCCCGGTTCCACTCGGCTGCGGGACTGCCCGGGCCCAGGGGCCCAGCTTGAGAGAACGAGGAAGGAGGAGGAGGGAAGAGGGAGGGAAGGGGTGGGGAGGGGTGGGGAGGAGAGGAGGGAGGCAGGCGATCAGGGTTTAAATTTAGACACAAATCTAAACAGATACTGTCCTTCCCAGGGCAGGACTCAAGAGAGGGAGCCACGACTCTATTAATCTGCCCAAACATGGGGATAGGACAGCCGCCTTGCCCCTCTTTCTTGCAAAGTTTCTCTAGGACCCTGGTCTTTGCCAGTTTCAGTTCTTCTCAACCTCTCCCTCATTAAATATGCCTTGTTTCTTTTTATTGCCCTAAAAATTAGAGCTGTTGTTTCATTCTGATGTTTCCTCGTGTCTGTTCCCTTCTTTTATTTACATCATCACTGCTTTCCTTCCCCCCACCTCCACTCCCTTTTTTTAAAATTACATGGAAGTCTACCTAGTTTTCCTGGAGTTTTTGGGTGGAAAGTTAAGTGGGCCCTCCATCCCTGGTCCAATACTTCTGTATTCTCTCCTGGCCCCAGAGAGGAGCTGTTCAGAGGGATGCTTCCACCCCAGTGTGGAACTGACAGGACTAGCTTTCCCTTTTACATCTCTTGTTCTCTACACCTTCAGTCACACATTTTCAGGAAACCACCATCTATCAGTCTATCATCTATGCTCATCTGTGTTTCATCTTCTGGAGAAGGAGAAGGAGAACAACTTCAAGCAAAGCTTCTCAAGCTCCCTGTAGCAGTAAATCTTTTCTTCTCGCCGATTTGATTGACATGTTTGACTTTATGAGAATTTCAGCTCCCACAAGCTATTTGCTAGAGTGCCTTTTCTCTGCTCCTGTTAAATATAGTAAAGGGCAGGATCCTGAACATCCGATTCCTGTAAGGCTTAGCATAGCAACCCTCCCCCAGGGCAGTCCCAGACCTCTGGGCAGCAAAGAGGGTGAAGAAGAGGAGGATGCAATGGAGGAATACAGGGACTGGAATCTGGACAATGTTCTTTCTCTGCTTCCAGCTTCCATACTTGCTACCAGCGCTTGGTACCCCTTCTGCATCCCTCCTGCTAAGGCAAAGAGGAAGAGGAGGGAATGACTTCAGAGCTTTGTGAGTGGAAGGAATTGGCTGGCAGGGGTGCCTCTGTGTTGTTCTGCAACATTCTCCTGCCCACCTCCACTCCCTAATCCCTGACCCAGATTCAACCAAAGAAAAGAGAGAGCTATTGCCGAGGTAAACAGCAGAATGGGCGATGGCAAGCACTATGGAGGGAGACATGTCGAGAAATCAGGCAAAGGAACTAAGCTCAGAGTTTGCTCACGCTAAGAATCACTGCCCTGATTATGCCTGGCATCCCAACACTACCTATGGACTTCCAGGTACTTAGCTTGCTGCTCTAGTTACCAGTCTTGGAGACATGAATACCTACTGCCATAGAACCTCTTAAGGCCCAGCTTTCTAAAACAGCCCTAATACCAGAGTGGTTTCTAGCTCCTTTAACTTAGCTGAGAATAGGGGCAACACCTCTGATTTCAGACAGATTGAAAATTGCATTCCAGCTCTGCTACTCTTTAGCTGTGTTTCCTTAGATAAGCCACTTAACCTCTCTGATCCTCATTTTCCTCACCTATAAAAAGTGAAGTGGAACCCTGGTAGTGCAAGTGGTTAAGCGTTTGGCTGCTAACCAAAAGGTGGGCAGTTTGAATCCACCAGGCACTCTGGATAAGTAGCTATTTTTATAATGCTCATCCTCATGTACAAGGTTTAAATGACTAGGGACCCGATACTTCTTTTGTTTAGAGCCTGCCACTCCGGAGCTTGCTGAAAAGGGACCCCACCCCCTGGAATTAATGGTGAGTCCCCTCCCATTCCAGCCACAGAGTCATGATGGTGAGGACACTAGGGCAGAGTTGGCAGCAAGAAAGTAAATTTCCCTGTACCCTGCAATGCATTTTTGTGATTTCTTTTTCTTTATTTTTTTAAGGGTATGGGACTGAGCTGGTGATGAAAGCATCACTTGTTAGCATGTCTGTTAACTTTGCAACATGAGGCTTTCCTTTTTCCCTCCACCTAGCCGTCCTTTCTGCTCAGAAGGGGGTTACCCCAGCACAGGTTTCTGGCTTCACAAACAGGAGGGCGGAAGTGCCTACCCAGAGGAAACCGTTAGGCCTAGATAGCATCACAGTCACCCAAGGTGACTTGCAGCTGCTCCCCACACCCTACTCAGGCCCTTCCCTTGGCTGAGAACAGATGACCCACAAAGCAAACAGGCTTTGTCTCCACCATGCTCTTGAGTCCCAGGCTGTAATCTGTTGGAGCTTGCACAAGAATCAAGAAGTGCAGAGTCGGGGCTGTTCCAGAGTTCTTTGGGCCCCAGGCAGAGACATTCACTGAGAGGAAGGGGTAAGAAATGGGGAGGAAGGAGAGAAGGGAGGAAGGAAGGTTCAGAGCTTGGTTTCAGCAGCCATGAGCAGATATGCGGTGGGGGCTCTCCTTACCTTCCCCTCCTACCCTTTCAGAAGTCAGAATGGAGGTAAGCCAGTTGGTAAGTGCCTGTATTTTCTGGGTTACTGGCCTGCTCTGTGGGCTGGAAGGAACTGACAGCCCAAGGGGAAGGGAAAGTGGCTCTCTGAGGGGTCAGTTCCCCTCCTTTTCTAGGGGGTTGGCTGGCCCACAAGGATCCATTTCTTTTACTCTCCTCCTTGGTCTCCTCCTTCACACCCACCTTTTAGTTTGAAATGGCCAAACAATAAATACAGGCCAGCACAGAACAAAGGATGAGGAACACCAGAGATGCAGCCTGGGCCAGGGAGGAATCTGTGGAGGAGCCCTACTATGTAACCTGGGCACATAGTAGGCTGTAAAGGGACATGTAGAGGAGCCCACGTTACCACAGGGTATCCTGGACACATAGTAGGCCAGGGAGGGAAATGTAGAGGAGCCTATGTTGCCACAGGGTATCCTGGACAAGTGGTAGGCCGGGGAGGGACCTATGGAGGAGCCCATGTTATCATGGCGTGTCCTGGGCACATAGTAGGCTAAGGAGGAACCTGTGGAGGAGGCTATGTTACCATGGGATTTCCTGGGCACATAGTAGGCCATGGAGGAACATGTGGAGGAGCTCACGTTACCACAGGGTGTCCTGGCCACGTAGTAGGCCAGGGAGGGACATGTGGAGGAGGCCATGTTAGCATGGGGTGTCCTGGGCACTTAGTAGGCCAAGGAGGAACCTGTGGAGGAGGCTATGTTACCATGGGATGACCTGAGCACACAGTAGGCCAAGGAGGAACCTGTGGAGGAGCTCACATTACCACAGGGTGTCCTGGGCATACAGTAGGCCAGGGAGGGACCTGTGGAAGAGACCATGTTACCATGGGGTGCCCCCAGGCACATAGTAGACCTTCAATAAATATTTGGTGAATGAATAGGTAGATTAATTAATGGATAGATGACTCTATTTTGATGAAGCAAATTATTTGGATCTTTGCCTTTAACACTTTCAGGACCAATTATTTTCTACTTTGATTTTTTTTTTTAGTACCATTTGTTTTCATTAATGAAAGCATGCTGAGTCATGGAGTATGTTTAAATTTTTGGTTGGTAATATGGATTTTGAGAAATATTATTTGGGAATACACGGGTCCCACAAACCTCGGGGATTTCTCGGGTGCCAGGATTGGTGGGTTGCCCGTCTGTCCCACTGGTCATGAGTGGCAGGATTTCTTGAAACACACACACACACACAAAAAAAAAAAAAAAAAAAAAACACCAGTGCTCCCCAAGTACCACAAGGAAACCATAAACATGCTTACAAGGCTTATCTAGCTGCACAAAAAACAAAAGAGACAAAATTTTTACCCAATCACACCTCCTGGATGCACTACCTCACATTTAAGGTTGATATCCCAGCTATTTTGCTTCAATGAATGTTTCTTTCACCTTTCACCATTACATAAGTCCCCACTGGAGGACAGCAAATACTTTTAGTGGAAAAAGTAAAGTCACAAGAAACCCGAGAGTCAGAAAAAGTGGATGGGATACCATATGTCCCAGGGGTTATGTTAAAAGGCAGAGCCTTTTTCCATGAATAGGACTCCAGTGGCAGAAAAGACTCAGTGGGAGAAAAGACCATCAAAGGCCACAATTCATTAAGCAGTTACTTAGTTTTCCAGCAGAACTGCAAACAGCTCTAATTAATTACCTTTTAGTAAGTGGACACATGGTGCTGCTGATCATCTGCTTTTAAAATTAAAAGAAAGAAGAAAACATTTTTTCATTACTATAAATGTTAACTTTAAAATATGTATACTTCAGCCCTAAATCTTGGGAATGTGGCAAAAAACAGAAAAACAAAAAACCAACTCATTCTACCACAAGTGACTCACTGAGAAATGGAGTTGGGCAGGGCGGGGGCAAGATGGCAGAGTAGTCAGATGCTTCCTGCGGTCCGTCTTACAACAAAGACCCGAAAAAACAAGTGAATCAATTATATATGACAATCTAGGGGCCCTGAACATCAGAGACAAAGTTGAGGAATCGGACTGAGCAGCAGGCAGAGGGAGAGACAGTTCAGAAGCAGCGAGGAGTTATCAGACCTGACCTGGAAGGAATCAGCACCCTGCAGGCTGGACTGGCTGGTGAATTTGGTGAGGCAAGCAGTGGCGATCAGGAATCATTTTCCACATCAGGAGAGACCGAGTGGCAGAGGGTCGGCTCAAACTTCCAGAACCAGCAAGAAATAGCACTCGATCAGCAAAAGATAAGTAGAAGTAACTAATCTACCATGTGGATCAAAAAAAAAAAAAAACCCTCCTTTTGGGAAATACCTCTCTCCCAATTACCTGCTTCCTCCCTGATCTGCTCCAGGTCCCGGTCAGGCTTTAGAGATTGCCGCCCTCCATGGGCCAGAAGTAGGACCCATAGTACACCCTGAGTCATTCTCCCAGCTTTGGAGAGGGAACAAATTAACAAACAGGAAAAAATAACCTGCCAGCTCCCCTAAGCTGGGAACTCAGGGCAGGCACAGTCTCTTTGCCTAGGCACAGGCATAAGGGGTCCACAGACTTTGAATGCCTTTCACCCCTGCATAGACCTGTGTGTGACCATTTCAACAGCATAGGCCCTCATTAGCACAGTATAGAAGGGTATATATCAGAAGCCTATTTTCATCTTTGTCTGCTATAAGGGGGAGTGGCAGATGTGTGACATTTGACACTGCCATGCCCATTAAGCAGGGTCCTCACCTACCCACATCAGGGGCCTAAGAACTGGTGGCTCCACCCACTCCACTGAGCAACCCAAGACAGGGGTTCAAGAATAAGTGCTGACCCCCAGTCGTTACAGCCAACAGCATTGGATGCCTATAATCTGGCTGCAAAACCCACTACCTACATGCTCTAGGGAACAGGGATACGCCTTGCACCCAGACACTCAGGGGCAGCAGTCAGCCCCCTGCCTTGATCAGCACATGACCCTCTATTGCAGCCAGATACCTGTGCCTACTCCATTCAGCCCTGCCTGTCTAGGACTGTAGGTGAGAGCCTGCACCATACACTTGGTGACTGACAACCTGGACACCTGAGCTGAATCCACACAAGAAAATTAAACAGAGTCTTGAGCTCACATACCTAGTAACAGCTCTAGCCACCTGGAGACAGGATGTGAGCGCTTCAAAGATGCCAATAATCAAAGTCGCTCACATGACCAGCCTATTTAGGCATATCAAAAAAAAAAAAAAAACAAAACAAGAAGCCAGGACACAGTAAACAAACATAAAATAAATAGTAGAGAACTTCTTGGAATTACCGGAGGTAGAATTCAAAAGACTAATATATAGAACTCTTCAAGAAATCAGGAATGAGATCAGGCAAAACACAGAACAAGCCAAGGAACATACAGACAAAGCAATAGAGGAACTTAAGAAGGTTATTCAAGAGCATAATGACAAATTTAACAGGCTGCAAGAATCCATAGAGAGACAGCAAACAGAAATGCAAAAGACTAACTATAAAATTTCAGAATTAGACAGCTCAATAGAAAGTCATAGGAGCAGAATTGAGGCAATGGAGGTCAGAGACCCGGACACCAACTTATTTAAGGAAAAATCAGATAAAAGAATTTTTAAAAATGAAGAAACCCTACTATGTGGGACTCTATCAAGAGGAATAACCTATGAGTGATTGGAGTACCAGAACAGGGAGGGATATCAGAGAATATAGAGAGAATTGTTGAAGGTTTGTTGGCAGAAAACTTCCATGATATTCTGAAAGATGAGAAGATATCTATCCAAGAAGCTCATTGAACCCAACACAAGGTAGATCCCAAAAGAAAGTCACCAAGACATATTAGAATCAAATTTGCCAAAACCAAAGATAAAGACAGAATTTTAAGAGCGGCTAGGGATAAACGAAAAGTCACCTACAAAGGAGAGTCAATAAGACTAAGCTCACACTAATGTCAGCAGAAATCATGCAGGCAAGGAGGCAATGATGACATATATAAAGCCTTGAAGGAAAAAACTGCCAACCAAGAATTATATATCCAGCAAAACTGTCTCTTAAATATGATGGTGAAATTAGGGCATTTCCAGACAAACAGAAGTTTAGGGAATTTGTAAAAATTAAACTAAAATTATAAGAAATACTAAAGGGAGTCCTCCAGTTGGAAAATCAGTAACATCAGATAACAACCCAAG